ATCTACTGTATAGGAGAGGGAACTGTATTCTCTCTCTCTCTCTCTTTATATATATATATATATATATATATATATATATATATATATATATATATTTTTTTTTTTNAAGAAGGAAAAAAGAAAGGCAGAGGGGGATTTTAGACAGAGGACACAGTATCGTGAGGGCAAAGGCAGTGGGGACGTCCCTGGTGGTCCAGTGGCTAAGACTCTGAACTCGCAATGCATGCATGTAGATCCTACATGCTGCAACTAAGAGTTTGCCTTCGACAACTAAGACCTGGCACAGTCAAATTAATTTATTAATTAAAAAAAGAAAAGAAATGGGTAAGAGAAATTTCTTCTTATATGGGGGTAAGAGGAAGTCTTCCCAGTGTAGGTGACATTTTTCTGACCCTCTTTCTGTCCCTATAAGCCCAGCCCTGGCTCAGAACGCATCTTTTCCCACCAGGATCCTCTCTCCAACCCCTCCCCCCACCCCCAGTCTTCCTCCCCCTCCAGTCTAGCCTCTAGGGATCCCAGGGGAGTCTTCTACATCCAGAGGTGACCTGGCCTCTCCTCAAGTCACAGCCATCCCGTATCTCCCCAGCACCCCTGGACAAATTCCCTGACCCTCCGCCTTTCTAGTCATGACCGATTCCTTCCTCTGTCCTTCAAGACCTATCTCTGATGTCACTTCCTCTGAGAACCCAACTTGCAGTCTGGGTTCAAGGCCTTCTTTGGGCTCACCCAGTGAATGGAGCCACCTCTACAATTGTCCATATCATGTTTGTTGCTCATACAGGGCTGACCCTGCCCCTCCTCTGCTCATAAATCTCCCACGGCTCTCCAGTGCCGGTGGGGAAAAAACTCAGGCCCTCAGCCTGGTCTTAGAGGCTCCAAATGTCCCGGGTCCTGCTTATTCCAGCCTCAGACCTCTTCTCTGACCATACTGGGCCCTCTGGCTTCTGGACCTTTGCACCAACTGCGACTTCCTGAAAGTGTGAAAGTGAAGCCGCTCAGTCATGTCTGATCCTTTGCAACCCCATGGACTATAGCCCGCCAGGCTCCTCTGTCCACGGAAAAAGCAAGGAATGCAGGTTTCACTGAGATTTGAACCCAGATCGCTGGATTCAGAGCCCAGAGTGCTAGCCGTTACAACTGTAACTTCTAACTTGGCCTTTCTTTCTACCTCCTCTGCTGGGCAAACTGGTCCTCAGCTAACACGCATTTTAGGAGTCTGCTCTTGCAGGAAGCCAACAACGATGCTGTGGAAGGCAGGGGCCTCTTCTGAGTTCTGGAAGCCACCTGTGCTGCCCTCATTATAGCAATAAGACAGACTGGGCTCAGCGCCCAGAGGCGGGAGGGAATGGCCAGGCCGGAGGTGGGGCCCAGATGTGGATTTCATGCCTATTAGTCTTGGGCGCTGGGAACAAAGTTTGGGTCATAAGGAGCATATGGGGCTCACCCTGTTCCTCACTTTCATCTCCTACCTCCCCGGCCCCTGGGTGGGAGGCAGCAGAGACAGGACTCTCTGAGCCTGGGTGGTTCCCAGAGCCCTTCCTGCCCGCGCTCTCAACTCCCACTCCCTAGGGGAGTCCAGCAAAAATCCTCCTGACCTGTGATCTCACCTTCTGGGTTCACCTCTCCTGGGGAATGTCTGGCCACCAGGTGTTTAAATCATGAAAACAAACTCCAGAAGCTCTTACTCTGTGCAGATACTATTTTAAGCTCATTATATACACATCTTTTAAAAATTAAGTATTTGTTTATTTGGCTGCGCCAGGTCTTAGTTGCAGCACTTGAGCTCTTCAATCTTTGTTGTGGCATGAGTGATCTTTAGTTGTGGCATGTGGGATCTAGTTCCCTAACCGGGGGTCAAACCCAGGCCCCCTGGATTGGGAACGTGGAGACTTAGCCACTGGACCACCAGGAAAGTCCCTAAATGTTCATGCATGCTCAGTTGCTTCATTGGTGTCTGATTCTTTGTGACCCCATGGACTGTAGCCTGTAGGGCTCCTCTGTCCACAGGATTCTCCAGGCAAGAATACTGGAGTGGGTTGCCATTTCCTCCTCCAGAGGATCTTCCCAACCCAGGGATTGAACCCATATCTCCTGTGTCTTCTGTATCACAGGCAAGATTCTTAGCCACTGAACCACTGGGGTAACCCTACAGACACGTTAATTCATTTAATCCTCATAATATGCCCTGTGGGTTATTTCCTATTACCATCATCATCACCACTCCCATTTTACAGATGGGAAAACTTAGGGGACAGAGAGGGATTTGAACCCAGGCAGTCTGACTCCAGAGCCTATGTATTTCATGAAAATCACCTTTAGAGCAATGTCATCCAATAGAAGTTTCTGTGATAGTGGACATGTTCTTTATCTGCGCTATCTGATATGTTAGCCACCAACTACCAGTGTGGCAGTGGCTACTGATTGGGTAGCTCAGAGAACTAAGTCTGAACACTGGCTACTTGCTGTGTGATGGTTGTTAAGATTCCCAGCCTCTCTCATTCTGTTTCTTTTAAGGATTCCAGACAAACCCAAACACATGTGGGTTTCAATCCTTGCCCCCATTTCAAAGTGGAGTCTCCCTGAGAGCCTCAATTTCTTCAGAAAAGGATGGAAAGGGCAAGATGAGGCATCCAGCAATGTCTGAAAGAGAGACCTCTTCTTAGAAAACCCCTTGACATACTAAGTTGCTCAGTCATATCTGACTCTTTGCAACCCTACGGACTGCAGACCGCCAGGCTCCTCTGTCCATGTGATTCTCCAAGCAAGAACTGGAGTTGGTGGCCATGCCTCCTCCAGGGAATCTTCCCAAACCAGGAACTGAATACTCATCTCTAATGTCTCCTGCATTGGTAGGTGGGTTCTTTAGCACTAATGCCACCTGGGTAGCCCTATAAAACCCCTTAAAGATTCCTAACTCCTGCTTCAGATATGCCCACAGCCAGGGCCCTGTTGGAGGCCAGAGGCACGCCTCCCCGTATACAGGATTTTATTGGTAGCTTGGGGGTCTAACCGTCACCCACTGCAGGCTATTTTCTGCCTTTTTCAGCCTCCTCAGGAGCATACCCAGAACACTGGGGGCAGAGCCTGTTCTCACTGCCTAGCACCCAGTGATATCATGGTGCAGCCAGACTCCCCATTGGTCAGGCCTGCTTTTTCTCTCAGGGAAAGAATAGGTTTCTCTCTAGGCCCCACTGAACCGTAAGTCATATCTCTTTGTCTGAGATTCCCTCACAGTACTCACTGTCTCTCCTACAAAGGTCACTCAAATTTGAAATTTTGCTTTTCATCGTGGGTTCAGAGGCCAAGTTGACATGAAAAATCATAAGCCCGATGACCTTCCATTCCATAGTACTTACTGCCTCCTGCCTTTTTTAACCTCACCCCTCTGGCCTGTTGGGTCTTCCCTGGTGGCTCAGACCGGTAGAGAATCTGTTTGCAATGCAGGAGACCCAGGTTTGATCCCTGGGTGGGAAAGATCCCCTGGAGAAGGGACGGGCAACCCACTCCAGTATTCTTGCCCGAAGAATCTCATGGACAGAGGAGCCTGGCAGGCTACAATACATGGGATCGCAAAGAGTCAGCATGAGTGAGCAACAAACACTCTGGTCTGTAGGTACCCAAATGCTGGGTGGAATCCAATTTTGTTTAGCACCAAGTGAAGTCAGACTGCTCTGTGGCTCCCAATTGGCTGTTCCCTCAGGAAAGGGTTTAGGCTGGGCCTCAAGACCGGGCGGACCCAACAGAACCCTCTTCAGATAGTCACTCAAAGTTCTATTATTTTCTAAGACCATCCTGGGGCCATTAGTAATCAAGTGTTTCTTAACTTGGAACTTTCTAGAAATCCGACACTGCTGTGCTTTCCTCAGGTGTGTTTCCTGCCTTTTTTAGTCACCCTCCCTTCCATTGGCTTTAGCCAATGGTTAAGCAACACAACTCTCACTAGCCTCTGTAGCCATGTTTGGTTTCACAACTTCCTCATGGCCTTCTTCATTTGCCCCTCCTAGACTCTCCCAGTGCAGATCAGCGGTCTGGAGCCGAGATTCCCCAAGAGTTGAGACTTTATTGAGGGGACTTGCTGCATAAGACAAAGGTCAAGAGTCCGAGCCAGAGACCAAGAGTTCTACCGCCTTTTTAGTTAAGGCCTTCCTGACTCCTGGATGCTGGCGCATGCCAGTGACGTCAGGTGTTCCCTGGCGTCTGATTGGCTCGCTGACGGACGCCTCAGCGTCGAGGTAAAAGGTAGCTGCCGTGGAGGTTGCTTCTAGTTCCTTCCATGGCATTCGAGGCCGCGGGGCTTTGGCTCTAGAGCCTGGGTTCGGGGCTCGGGGTCGAAGGCCGCAAGCCGCGGCACCCCCCGGCGTGCTCTTCCTGCTGCAGCCGCCGCAGCGGCCGGGCCCAGCGCGGCCTCCAGGGCAGTGCGAGGCCGTGGCGGTCGAGGACGAGGCGTGTAGGATCTGGGCCGCCAGCCGTGCTGCCCAGCAGCAGATAGTGGTTGGCGGGCCGCAGGCGCAAACATCCGCACGTCAGATCGGCGCGGGGCACCCAGGCGGCCTGGCTGCCACGGCGCACGGGCCGCGCTCGCTGCTTGTACACGGCCAGCACGCGTATGGCCAGCCGCTGCCATGCCGTGTCCGCGGCCTCGGATGCCAGCACCTGCGCGTGGAGCACTGCGGGAAGGGGAGAGGTCAGGCCTGGACCGGGGGAGCCTGAAGGCCCAGTGAGGTCAGTCTTGGTGGGGAGGGGCCTGGGACGCAAGGGTGGACTTCCAGAATCGCATCAGGAAGAACAGAGACCTTGAAGCTTTGAGGGTGAGAGGCCCTGTGCTATGAGGAGTGAGGTCTTTTTGAGGACACGGGTCAAAACAAGGAGGGCGGGGTGTTTGGAGTTTGAGGTTGGGTCCCAGGATTGTGATTGTGAAGGGGAGGGGTGGGTGGGTGGTCCCTCTGGAGTGGCGGTCAGGCTGGGCCAGGAACCCAGGTGCCCACCAGGAAATATTCAAGCACCACCAGGGATGCTTTTGAGATCATATTAGAAAGCGCAGGTATAGGAATGACTTAAAAGTTAGAGATCTCCCGGGACCCTGCAGTGGGTGGGGCTGGAACAAGGCAGAAAAGGCCGGTCCAAGTCTCTAATGCCAGAGAATCAGAAAGTATTAGGAGCACACGGAGCCCCTGGAAAACAGAGATATTGCCCTAGGCGGGATCTGCATCTAGGATTAAAGCCCAGGGTCAAGGTCTTACTAGTGGTGATTCAGAGAAGTGTCCCCTCTAAGAAGGTGAGATGAGATCTGTTGGGAGCAGCGCTCTGGTGGGCAAGCTGGGTCTATGGGCTATAAGATCCCTGTGGGAGGTGGGGGGAGAAGCCTCCACATTTGGAGTTCAAGGATACTAGTGGCCAGATGGTGAGCCTCAGGGAGGGGAGGTCTGGGATCCTGTACCATTGGGGCAGTAACTGGGGCAGGGCTGAACTCAGGTATCCAAGAGAGCTGAGCTCATAGGCCCTGGACTCAGGGGGCTGGTGTAGACTGGTGGATTAGGAAACTATGGGGGAGTCTGTGGGAATGGGGCTACAGCCCTGAAGGAGGGCAGAGGACCTGAGACAGACAAGACAGCGCAAGGGTCCCCTCCATTCAACCAGTTTGCCTTTCTCCTTCCATCCTCAGGAAGCCATCTCCCCAACTCAGGGATGTCAGGCTGAAGGAGACTGTGAAACTCTGCAAGGCCACAAACGTGGGGTGAGAGGAGACCTAGGAAGGTAGGGAGTATCCCTCCCCACTCCCCCTTCCGCCCATTGTCTCCTGTCCCGTTAGGTTCTAGATCAGGAAAGGCCCTTTGAGTTCAACACCCCTTCCCATTTAAGATGAGGAAACTGAAGGCCAGAGGAGAAAGTGACGTGGAGGCAGATCAGAGCCCCTGTGCGCCCACTGGCCCTTGTTCTCCCCAGCACTCACCGTAGTCCTGCTGGCAGTACCTCCGAAGGCTCATGTGTATCCTGGTGTCCGAGGTATTGCAATAGTTTTGACACTGAGGGTCTGGGGAGGGTCGGGCTCCTGAGGCCTGGACTACAGCATTCTGCCCGTGCCCATCCCCCACAGTCCGTCTTGATGGACAGCTGGGGTGCTTGAACCCTTGGGACTGTGCTTAGTGGACCACCCCTGGATCCCCGCCTGATGGCCCAATCACCCCGTCCCCAATCCTTCTTGCTACCAGGGATTTGTAGGCCAGCCTGTCTTACCCAAGCTGTAAGCTTGAGGGGTTGTGGCAAGGGTGGTTGTCACCTCTGGGATTCCTGTGATAAGAGTAAAGGAGAGGTAGGGCCTCTGAGCACCTCCCACCAGCACCCTGCTGCCCCCAAAGAAACCAGGCATCCAAGCCACGTAAGTCTGTTCCCTTGAGGCCCAAGAGTGGAAGCACACTTTGCCTTTCTCCCCCAGGACCTGGAGTTCTGGTCCCTTGCCACTTTCTGGACTCAGGAGTCCTAGTCTTAAGACCTCTCTCAGACCCAGGAATCCAGGCTCTTAGCCTGTTCCTCTGCAGGTTGAGAGACTGGACTTCAGGCTCCGCCTCCCCAAGGCCACAGAGTCCCGCTTCCAGTCTCTAGCTTCCGTCTCCCAGGGACCCGGTCCTCACCCCTCTTGCCCCCTGGAGGTCTGGCTGTCTCCTTCCCCGCCCCACTTGGCACTCGGGGCCCCGCCCCTCAGGACTCACGCTGGCAGGGCATCCTGGGGGAGCGGCTCTGCTGGTAGCCAGGACCACAGCGGTTGCAGGTCAGGCCAGTGACCCCTAGCTTGCAGGAGCACTGCCCACTGGTCTGGTTGCAGGTACCGCCTGTCGCCCCAATAGGATGGCACTGGCAGGCTGCGTGAGGAGAGGAGCTGGGGAGGTGGGGTGCGGGCTCCCAGCCTCTTCCTCCCCAAGACTGGGGAAGCTGGAATTCCCTGCCCCCTCCGCCCTCAGACCCAGGAGTCCGGGCTCCAGCTCCTCCTCCCGCGGACCCTGGTCTCCTGGTACCCAGCCCCCTCCGCCCTCAGACCCCATAGATCCGGCCCCCAGCCCTTCCTCACTCAGACCTGCCTGTCACCTTTTCCTCTAGGTGGGGCTTCAGGCTGCACTCACCCCTGCAGGCCTTGCGGCTGTTGATGGGCTGGCTGGGGTCCCTCCAGAACCCTGGCTGGCAGTAGTGGCAGTGCCGCCCAGCTGTGTGGTGGCGGCACCGCTCACAAACGCCCCCACTCCGGCCACCCGACAGCCTGAACAGCTCCGAGTTGAACCTGCAGCGTCGCGCGTGCTGGTTGCAGGAGCAGGCTGGGAACAGGATGCATCGAGGGCACCTCAGTCCCCATTCTGTCCCCCTTTTCCCAGCTTTCCCCCCACCACCCTCAGGAGAGAGACTGCCTGGGGTTCCCCGGGTGAGTGTGGGCCCCCGAAGCCCTTCATTCTCATCTTTAAAACAGGCCGTGCTCTAGACTGGGGCTGGGTGAGCCCGAGGGGACTGATGAACACGCAGGGTGTAAAGAGTGGCAACTCTGGGCATGGGCTACAGAGTCAGACCGCCGTGTGGAAGTGTCTCACTCTTTCTGTGGGCAAGTGACATCTCCTTTCTGCAGCTCAGACTCCTTTGCTATAAGATGACATTTATAGTATCTACTTCCTCACAGGAGGACCACCTACCATGTACATTTTGCTGGGGAGCATCGGTCAGATTTCAAAGGCAGTGACTCTCAAATCTTAACCACTTATTCGAATTACCCGGAAAGCGTTTAAAAAGAGCAACACGGGACCTCCGTGCTAGGTCCTGGATCAGGCTGCGTTCTAAGGACGTTATGTATATTCATGTTTTGAATTTCCGCTGCAGCCTGTGGAGGAAGGACTGTTGTTTTCCTCACTGTACAGGTGAGGAAATGGAGGCACAGAGAGGTTTAGTCACTAGTTGGGGGGTCACACAGCCAGGAAGCCGACGAGCTGGGCTTTGAACCCAAGCAGCCTGGCAGGCTCCTGAGGCCATGCCCCCATCCGCTGCCCTAGAGCATCTAGTGTGGCAACACACTCGGGACAAGCCAGGAGCCTTGGGCTTATTCTCCTGAGCTCACGTTCCAGCCCTGCCACCTGCTGACTGCGTGTCCTTGCGCACAGAACTTCCCAGCTGTAGCCTCAGTCTCCTCATCTGTATAATGGGCCTGATGCAATCCCTGCCTGGCATATAGTAGGTGCCGGATAAAAATGTGTCTAATGAGTAGAAGCTTCCCCCACCATGGTTGATTTGATGAGTCCAAAAACATCCAGCTGCCCTGTTTTTCTGCAACCTCTCACTAAATACCACCTGAGCACCTGTGCCAAGCCAGGCCCTGGGCGGGGGCTCAGAGCGTCCTCCACATCACCATCACCGTTATCAGGTGTCACTGAGAGGCTGGAGCCCCCCGGCGGGCATGGAGGCAGCAGAGGTGGTGGGGGAGAGTTGGGGGAGCCACTGAGGGGTACTGCCGGAGGACAGTGTGGAGAGAAGCAAGGGGCAGGCAGCTCTGGGGCGGGAGAGCCTCCTGACCTCATGGGCCTGGAGCTGGGTCAGGGCAGGTCTGGGCGGGCCCAGGACTCACGCAGGCAAGGGTGAGGGTGCCGGGGCGTGGCAGGCCGCCAGGGCCAGTCGCGGTGGGATGGCCGGCAGCTCTCACAGCCTGGGCCGGTGGTGTGGTGGCGGCAGCGGCAGCGGGGCGGCCGGTCACGGGCAGCGCAGCGGGCAGCGTGGCCGTGGCACTGGCAGCGGCCTCTCACGCCCGCAGCTGCCAGCCCCCCTCGGCCCCCGAGCTCCAGGCGGAGGTGACTGGCCACCACGCTGGCCTTAGGGCCCGCTGGGACCCTGAAGGTCACCCTCTCTGGCCCTCCCAGTGCCCCCGGCCAGGCGGGCCTGCGCCACAGTGACCTCCAGGGCCCTCCGGTGGCCCAGGCGGCAGACAGGACCAGGGCTGGGGGTCCTGGGGTGCAGAAGCGCAGGCTGACGGACGACAGGAGGAAAGGGCCCCCCAGGCCCAGGGTCAGACTGCCATTGCAGGGGGCCAGCGGGCCAAGGTCCACGCCCAGGGAGGGGCCACAGGCCTGGGGACAGGAGGCAGCCATGCCAGCCAGCTGGGTCACGGGTGGGAGGCAGAAGCGGGGGCGGCCCCCAGGGTGGTAACACGGGTCCGGGTCCGCGCTGGCCTGGCTCAGGAGGAGCCAGAGGGCAAAGGTCACGGGCATGCTTCCAGCAGAGGCAAGTACCTGCAGAGGAGAGGAGTGGCCGGGCTGGGGCCTCGGGCTGCCCCCCGAGGTCAGCCTCCACCCCGCTCTCCAGGCTCCCTGAGGAACCCCGGCATTCCACCCCTGGCCCTGCCCCAGACCTCTCCCGGCTGCTTCTGAGCGAGGAAAATAGTTCCATCTGGGGAGAATTACTGTTTACATAAGCCAAAGGGGAAAGAACGCAAGCAAAATCGAGAATTTTGCCTGAACTAATCCGTAGCTTAACACCCCGGCGCTATCAGTCAGAGGGGCAGGGGACCCTGGGGAGAGGGCGGGGAGGGGGACAGATGGGGGAACCTCGAGCAAGGACCAGGGGGAGAAGGGGGGAGCAAGGCGGGGCAGGCAGAGTTACGGACAGATGAAGACTCAGTGACAAAGCAACAGAGACAGGGACAGATAGGGGCACAGACAGCACAGACAGACAGATGGAGGGAGAGGGGGCGAGGCAAGCGTAGGGCAGGGGCCAGGCAAGGAGAGGAACCAGGAGGGGCGAGGAGGATGCAAGGGGAGACCACGAGGCCCAGAAAGATGGCGGTCGGGAAACCGGAGTCCACAGGGTGTGGGAAGTGGGTCCCTGGGAGCCTGGGGGCCGGGACAGACAGACAGATGGGCACGGGACCTTCAAGACACCTGCAGAGTCGGAGGAGAGCTGGCAGTGCAGCAGACCTGACCTGGGGCGAGAGCAGGGGTGCTGGGCCGGGGGGATCAGAAGCAGGAGGCAGGTCCTCGGGGATCAGGGATCAGAGGGGAGGCCCCTTTCCCACATGGGGCCCTAACCTCGTTCTCCACACCCAGGGCACGGAGGGGGATTATCACCAGATAACCAGGCCTCCCTGCCACCCACCCCGAGCCTCCACCCACCCTTAACCCTTTCTCACCCAGACGCAGAACCCAGAGGACTGTGCTAAGGGCCCCGGTGGGGATGCCTGGGGGCTGGAAGCCTGGGCTGGGAGGCTGGTGTGGAATGCCGGTGGGGCTGAGAAGGTCAAGCCCTGGTGTCCCGCTTGGGATGGGAGGGCCCCTTGTGCTGCATTTCTGAGGACTTCCTGATAATCTCAGCCCACCCGACTCCCACTGCCATCCTAGGCCTCAGGGTCCAGGAATCAGAGCCGCCACATTCCCGCCGGCTGTAAAGTCCCCAGAGCAGAAGAGGGAACAGATGTTGGGGGTGGCGAGTGCCCAGGGAGCAGAGAGGCCGGACAGGGCAGGGCTAGAGGCCAGGGCGTCCGCGGTGCCGGAAGTCCGGGCCTGGGAGGGCATGACTGAGGAAGGACTTGGTGCTGGAATGCTCCCCTCTTCCCGTCCAGGGCTGGCAGCCCCCAGTGGGGAGCTCCCTCAGGTCTGGGGGCCTTGAACCCCTTCTGGGACCCACTGTCCAGGCCCCTGGGTCAGTCTGGACCTGGACGTGGGCCCCGCTGGGAGTCTGTGAGGCACCAGTGGGTGCGGTGGGCTCACATCCCCCCCAGCCTGATATCACTGCCCCCAGTGTCCCCAGTACAGACGTCCTGCGCGCAGACTGCCTCCCCCGCCCCAGATGACTGCCATGGTCTCCACCCCTCCCAAGGAGGAGTCTGGCGCCATCTTGAGCTCTGGCGCGGGGCATTTGCCCTGGTCCCCTGGAACCTGCCTTGTTAAGGCTCTCCCATCTCCCACCTCTCCTTTGTCTCTCCTCTCCTCTCTCTCCTGGGTGGTTCACGGGGCACCACCACTTTCTGGCCTTAGTACGCCAGGGAAACGGGTTGAGTCCCCCAGTGTTCCTGGGGGATTGAGAAGCCAGCCCCTGCCACTGGGGAGCCCAGATGTCCGGCCCCCGGCCCCTGCCCCTTGTGGGAACTGTAGCCCACCCTGACCACCCCCATTTAAGGAGCAGAGACTAGCTGTGTTCCCACCAGATCCAGAATCAGGCCCCTCGCCTGGGCAGTGTGGGGGTCCCTCTGGACCCAGGCTCCTCTTCCCTGGTTTCTTTGGCACCCACCCGACCCTTCACCCTGCCATCGTCCAAACCTGTGCCCTGGAAGAGGTTGTCCTCTTGCAGCTAGCTGCTCACATGTCCTTCTCTCCCGCAGGAGCTTGGCGGCCAGCGTGGGCTCCAGGGAGTGAGTGCGGAGTGGCTGTTCTCAGGCCCCGGGCTAGTGGGGGTTCTGGGCGGGAGCTCAGAGCAGAGCCTAAGAATCCAACACCACCCCCGCCCCCCCACCCCGCCCCAGTCCCCTCTCCAAGGCAGCCACGCTCTCCCCACAGGGACCCCTGGCAGCCACGCCACCCGGGACGGTGTGGGACATGAGCGCCATCACCCCGCAGCGGCCCGCAGCTGGACATCTCCGAGCAGCCTGGCCCAGGAAGCTCAAGACAGGTAGGAGGGGACAGCAGCCAGATGGCCTTCCCGGATCTGGGGTTCGCGCTCCACTCACACCCAGCCTCTGCCCCACGGCTCCTAAAGGCGGGCAGGCTGGGGCTTAGCCCCGCTACGTGGTGCTGGCTGCGATCAGGAAGGGGCAGACCTGCGGGGGGTGGGGATTGGTGTCAGGGCCGCTCACACCGAGGTGGGACCCCACGCCAGCCCCTCCTGCCCTCTGGAACCTTTTGCCAGCTGTGGGTTAACTGAGCATGAAGGTCAGGCGCTTTCAAGCCCTAGAAGTCAGTGCCCTTTGAAGGGTCACACCAGCCACCTGGAAACCCAAAGACTTGGGCCGCTTTCTGAGTTGGTGGGGTGGGGGTGGAGGAGAAATCAATGCCTGGGACCTTGGTGGTTCTAGCGGCTGGAGGGAGAAATCGGGGACCCCCAGGGGTTCATAGCTCAAAGCGGCCTTCCCCATGACCAGCTCACTATGAGGCCTCAAGACTTCAGGGGTGAAATTTTCACAGAAATGTTACCCTCAACTCTATTACATACCTGAATGGTTTTGACTAGAAAGACAACATTTTTCATCACTTCCCGCTGAGAAAGGCAGGGGCCTCGGGACGATGGGGCACATATTTGCTACCGTGGCCCCGAGTGCACTGACTGTGGCCCAGCGTGGGCCCGTGGGGTTTGGGGACCCCCTGTTCTGGCGGGAGGGCGCAGCTGAGGCAGCTGTGCTTCTGGTTCTGGGTGACCAGCACGGCAGCGGAGGCAGGATGGGGACATAGGATTTGAATGTAAGCCGTGAGGAGGGGTTAGCTGCCAGAAAAAGAAGCCCTCAGATCAGGGGGCACCTGTGGGACCTGGGGCGGGCGGCGTGAGGGACAGGCTAACTCCTGCAGATTAGGAGTTTCCCAAGCTAATGTTTCCTGGAGGAGAGCTTGCTTTCTCACTTTTGTTTTTAATAACCTGAGCTTCCTGAGGTGATGATCATCTCTAAAGGAGCCAATTATAGATCCGCCTGCCAATGCAGGAGACGCAAGTTCCATCCCTGGGTTGGGAAGATCCCCTGGAGAAGGAAATGGCAACCCACTCCAGTATTCTTGCCTGGGAAATCCCATGGACAGAGGAGCCTGGCGGGCTACAGTCCATGCGGTCACAGAGAGTCAGACACGACTTAGCAACTCAGCAACAACTGCACTGAGAGTGTGCATCTGAGTGTCCCTTTCTCAGGGCAGAGTAGAAAAACTCAAGACAGTAATCAGGATCCCAGATTCCTGAACCACACTGGTTTCAAATCCAGGCTTCACTTCTTTCCTAGCTGTGTGACCCAAAGCAAATTTCTTAACCTCTCTGTGCGGTAGTTTCCTTTTCTGTTAAATCGGCATAAAAATGTACCTTCCTCATGGGAGATCATGAGGACCAAATGAGTGAAGATAAGCCTACAGTCTAATATCTGAAACTGTGTGGACCAGACATGCTGCAGAAACTGTTTTGACACCACCATGGGGTGTGCAGGTTATATATTATACACCCCTCAGTGGGGTCTGGGCAGCATCCCATCAGTTCAGTTCAGTCGCTCAGTCGTGCCTGACTCTGCCACCCCATGAACCACAGCACGCCAGGCCTCCCTGTCCATCACCAACTCCCAGAATCCACCCAAACTCATGTCCATTGAGTTGGTGATGCCATCCAACCATCTCATCCTCTGTCGTCCCCTTCTCCTCCTGCCCTCAATCCTAGCATCAGGGTCTTTTCCAATGAGTCAGTTCTTCACATCTGGTGACCAAAGTATTGGAGTTTCAGCTTCAGCATCAAGTCCTTCCAATGAACACCCAGGACTGATCTCCTTTAGGATGGACTGGTTGGATTTCCTAGCAGTTCAACGGACTTTCAAGAGTCTTCTTCAACACCACAGTTCAAAAGCATCAACTCTTTGGCACTCAGCTTTATTCTTTATAGTCCAACTCTCACATCCATACATGATGATTAGAAAAACCATAGCCTTGAGTAGATGGAGCTTGGTTGACAAAGTAATGTCTCTGCTTTTTAATATGCTGTCTAGGTTGGTCATAACTTTTCTTTCAAGGAGTAAGTGTCTTTTAATTTTATGGCTGCAGTCACCATCTGCAGTGATTTTGGAGCCCC